ACTACTACTACTACTATGATGACGACTACTACGACGACAACTGCTAGTGATACAAACGTGAGCAGTACTATAAATTAGAATAACACCTGTCGTCATCATCATCGTCATGACCACAATAACAGTAATGATGAACACTATCTTTCTGTAACCCTCCTGTGGCAGGCGAGCGGAATGGACGATCCGTTTAAAGCCTTCGCAGTTGCATTCTCGAGCCCATCGCGGTTGTCATCCTTGGCGTGAGATCATAGGATCATCAAGGGATGGTGGTTCAAGAGGGGGAGGATGCTAGGGAACCCCAGGAACCTTAGTAGCACAGGGGAGAATCAGGACTAATTATTGGGTTCTATACCCCCTCTGGGTCCCCCCTGCCTCAAGGATCCAAGAAGGAGAGTCGTTGCTCGTTGCAAGCTCGATGGGGCTCCTCATCACCCACGGGTTTAGGGTGTGGGTGTAGGGTTTAGAGACCTTGGTGATGTCCGGGCTATCCGCGTCCATCCGTCTTCCTCGTTTCACCTTGAGACAGTAGTGCAGTGTGGTGCGATCCCTTGTTGGAGCACCCTAGCTTTCACCACTTTTCCAGACGAGAGAGCCGGCATCAAGTGAGGAGCCGCATAAGAGCGTCGGAAGCATACTATAGGGACCTTGACAATTACCTATAATACTTTGGGGGTTTCTGATTATAAGTATAGTATAGTATACCCCAAAACCCTATTCTAATTATTAAGGTCCCTCTATCAAGAGTCCCTGCGAGTTTGAGAGCATAAGCAGATCCAGAGCCCGATGCCCATGAATCGAGGAATATACATTAAATCACAGGGGGCTTCATGTTATGCACACAGGGCTCATTAAGGGGTATTGGGCTCCTGGGGCATCTTAATGCAGACTGACATTCGACCGTTATAGCAATGCGGGAGTGTGGCTCAAGCTGTCGCGCGAGTGCCCAGCTCCCCGTCTGATAGATGAGCTCCCTGGAGATTGCAGACTTTTCGGTGGTAGCCGGAGCAGAAGGCTGGCTGGGTGAGGCAGTGAGGATCTTTCGGCAGACAGGATTCTGCATCATTCTCAATGCCTTGAGCGATGAGCGGGCATCTGAGGTGCTGAAAGCCTGCCAGGAGGCAGAGCGCAAGATCTTGGAGTTAGATCCAGAAAGAATGGGGTGGTGCCACGATCCTGGCCACTATAGCTTTTGCGCTGCCAGCCAGTCTGGCCACATGTTGCATCACGAAGCATGGTCACTGCTGCTAGCATGCGAAACCACCTTCAGCGCACTGCATGCGATCTTGCCGGACGGGTTTGCGTTTTGCGGCGGCGGAGGCGATTTTGTGCTTGCAGGGACGGAGAAGTACCAGACCCTGCACGCGGACTTGGGACCTGGACAGGTTCCGCCAGAGTATCGTGTTGATGAGGCTCCTCCCCAGATCGCCGTAAATTTCATTGTGCAGACGATGACCGAAAAGAACGGACCCATGAGAGTTATACCAGGCAGGAAGGTTGCTGGCTTCTTGTTAAGGGGTTTAGTCTAAGTTACCATAGTAAAGCAACCCTGTTATTTACAATAGATCCCTATTAGGGTAACTTACATCCCTAAACCCTAAACCCTAAACCCTAGACCCTAAACTTTTAAAGGGCTACTGCACGTAAAAAAACCCTAGACTTAACAAGAGCCCAGGTTATTCACGGACAGCAAGACATTCCGCCGAAGTTTCGACAAGAGCCAGACCGGTACCTACAATCGAAGCTTTTTCCTCTGCCGAAGGGAGCAGCCATCCTCCGTGACCTGAGACTTAGATAGCCAACGGGAGAACTTTTGGGTTTAGGGTTTAGGGCTTTTTGGTCTGATATACTAGGTCTATCCCAAAAAGTTTGCACTTTTTTGGGCCTGGTTATTGAAGAAGAGAGGAGACTTTGGCATGGGGGCACTCCAAACTCAAGCGAAGAGACGTGTTTCTTGCCAAGTGTGGAGGTGTTCTCTGCCAAGTATGCGTCCTTCATCTTCGAGAAGTCTCTGTGTCATTTTTGGGTAGCATTTTTACATGTCTACGGGTACTTAAAATCAATACGGAATAGAAATTTACAGTTTTAATACTTTCTCAAGCATGAACTACGGTTGATGATATGAATCCTGCATTTCCCATAGTTAGGCATATGTCATAATTCCCATAGTTTAGGGTCCTTAAGGTAATGCAGGATCTATTTCACCCCCTAAACCCTAAACCCTAAACCCTAAAAAGCAGAAGGTCTGAAGAAAAGGGTTGGCATTGGAACCTTCCGTCGAAGACTCGCCGATGTCTCCCGGACTCCCTCTTCCTTCAACTTCCGCCGGCGGTCCGGGAGCGCTGCCAGGAGATCCGGGATTGCGTTTTAAAGTATATGTTGTAGTAAACTATAGTATGCTCTAGTATATTATAGTATAGTATAGAGTATGATAGAACATCATAGGATATTCTAGGATATTTTGGCTTATTCTGGTATGTTGTGGTATGTTACAGTATATTACAGTATACAATTGTAGATTATTGAATTTTATAGTCCATGATAATATATGACGGTATATTACATCGACAGGAATAAAGTTTTGCCGCACTTGCTTATACCTTTATGCTGTGGACGCGGAGTACCGACGGCCTGGCTGGCCGAAGAATAATCCACCGGAATACGGGGTTTAGGGTTTAGGGGTTTAGGGTTCGGGTTTAGGGTTCAGGGAGGACTGGGTGGAGGAGTCTAAGGGGGAAACGGGGGTGCAAGCTCTTCAAGAGCAACATGCTGGGGTACGACGAACTTTCTTCATACCGCAGTATAGTGTATTATATTACGGTTGATGATACAAATCCTGCATTACCCTATGGGAACTTTGGTATATTCTTTATTATGGGCAATGCAGGATTTATATCATCAACCGTATTTTGGTATTTTGGGGGTTCCTTGTTCTAATTTCAGTATAATGGGCTAAGTAGTAATGGGCCCCATAATTTTAATTATTAGTATAACGGGCTAATCCTTAGTATAATGGGCCTCAAAGGCCCTAAACCCTAAACCCTGAACCCTAAACGCCAAACCCTGAACCCTCAAC